GTCCAGGAAAGAAAGCAAGACTAGGCCAAAGACACAGTAGGGAAGAAATGCAGTTGCTAATCCTGGATCCTTTTAAAAGTTTGATTGCACTTTCTTGTAGCTCTGGCCCTGTGGTGATTTAAGCAGTGCTTACTGAGCTTACTCAGCAGCTGAACAGTTTCATATGTTCAGCTGCCTCTGAACTCCTGGGTGAGCCTCATCTGCTCCTAGTAAGTTGTTACTATTTAGTGCACTGATTTGTGCTAAAATCCTTTCTTGTCAGCAGTGATATTTGCTTTGACACATTCTTCTGAAACGCAAGATTTCCTCAGATCAGCTCCTGTAAGGGATGTTTTATCAGGAATATCCCTATTCTGCTCTGTAGCACATCAACCTAAGGGATGCACAGCTTTGCTGCAGTAAACATATCTTCTCCTTTACTACTTGCTTTCCCACTGATTCCATCAAGTTTGATTAATTATTGTTGGTTTTCTTTTTAAATTCTCATTTAACCCATGTTATATGATGCCATTTGTCAGAATATACACTGCTTTTTATTTTCACTATTCAGATCTTCCATTCTTTATTTCTGCTGCTTCCTGTGTCTAAGCATGATTGTTTAATTTTTACAATATCTAGTACACATCTTATTTCCATTTCAGATAATGATATTTTCTCGCCATTTTCAAATTTTTATGCTTTTAGTTGCTGCTTTTGTTTAACTTCTTTGCTTTTTGGGAATATTATAAAGGTTCATATTATAATGTGCATTTTTCAGGTCTTTCTCTGCAACCAGAATTTGGACTTTATAAAAACACAGAAACATATATACATCTACATACATTTCCACAGCAGCTTTCAGGGCAAGAAAGAAAATAAGCATTGAGTACCTGGGAGAAAGCAAACATTTCTTTCATAAATCTGTCAGGCTGATACTTCAGAAATCAAATAGGTTCAGTTTCTCTGAATATTTCTAGGGACAGCACATGCTTTGGGACTACACTGCTAAACTAAGAAAGGTCAAAAAAATGTACAAGTGGATTATAATGTTCAGAATTTTCTTAGCATGTCTCATTGAAATTATTATGAAACTATATTAAAATATTACACTGAAAAATGAGGAGAGTAGCTGCATTTCATCAATAAAGAAATTCAGATGCTGACTCATGGAAAAGCATATCCAGGATCTCTCAGTAGTAGAATGAGAACTGAGTCCCATGTCCTCACTCTCTATGTGGATTGCTATACTTTCCTGACAAGCAATATTTGGCAAACGAACAGAGCCTCCAGTTTTTAAGCATTCTCTTGTAAGCACTTACAAATCATCTGCGTGCTATTATCTCATTTCTACACAGAAATTTAGGTCAAAGCTGAAACAGGGAAATCTGAGAACCTGCTGTAGAATCTTAGTGCTGGTTGATATTTAAGTTAGATATTTTAGATGCTCACGTTCTGCTAGGAAAAAAAAATTAAAATTAACTTGGTCACTGTCTTTCTCCTGAAGATTAAAAATAGCTAAAACTACTATATAAAGGTACATTTCTGTATCTGTCAGCTGAAAAACCAGATACCTCATGAGCAGTAAAATTAAACCAAGGAAAGAAGGAAGAGAAAAATATGGTGACAGAATCTGAGTCTGTTGTATCTGAACCTGTGCTTTCTGACAGCTGTGCCACAGCATTTTATGCAGTTCTGCTATGCAATCTTAGCACTTTCCCTGCTGCAATGGAGAACAGACACCTTTAGCATTTTGCTTTTCAAATAGCTCATATATTTTTCAACAGTTACTAGAATCCATATAACTTGCCTGTGCTTTTATCTCCAGGGCAATGCTGGTATCCTATCTCCATGGTATGTCTACAATAGGCAAACTGAGGTCACTTTTTTCCTTTTAGAGCTATAATTATCAAGGCACAGCCCATTAGTGGAGAATAGCATGAAGGAGATGAAAGTTCCCTTTCATGGCAGTAATGGTCCCACCACATTTCAACAGGCTCAGAAAAAGGATTAACTGTATGTGCTAATCCCTGTATGCAGACATAAAAGCATAAGTGCATAAACACAGAAACAGAGTTTTGCATAGGGGCAGTGTCTCTTGCAAGACCTAAGCAAACAAACACCAACAAATATTCGCTCTGCAAGGAGTTTCTTAAGGGTGTATGAAATCTGTAACAAGCATTTAAACAGTCTGTGCAAAACACTTCTTGGGTGGTTTTGTGGCGAAGCCAAGGTATGAATCTCCCTCCCCACCCTCTACAAACCACTGCTGTGAGTTGGGTCTGAGATGGAACTGCATTCCTGTCAAAATAATGGTTATGTATTATATCATCAGCTCTGAAGCATTGTTGTCACCCACTTTGTGTGCAACTCCAATTAAATATTCAGAAATACATGAGAGTGGATCCTTTGATTAATGTACTGCCAGGCATTTTTTTTATATGTGTGCCCCCATCATTCCTGTTCATACATCCCCAGTGCAAGGTATAATTCACGGTAAATTACTCCCTCTTTCATGCAGCTTTTGCTTCACGTAATTATCTGAGAGTCTCTGTTCTTACTAAAGTGAGACCAGGACCTGCAGAATGACAGACAATCCTCTGGAGTTCATTTATCATCTGAGCACTGGGACTGGCTCTAACCCTAATCTATGAGAAGAGAGTCAGTCACCTGTGGCAGCTTGCAATATCTGTATTGATTGTAAACCTACACATGGCTTGCATATTGCACCAAATAAGGGAACCCCATTCTTTGTTTAATACTAGTCATTCTGGGATTGCATATATTTGGTTTGAAGTGTTCGACACTCTAGACACCATTCCAGGTGCTGACATCTGCCCTAGCCTGACATGACAGGCAGCTTGAACACAGACTTGCCTCTGTGGATGCTGTCTGAGGGATTTTTTAGTATTTTTTTTTGCCTAGTGATTGGACTCACCCATCAATGTTAAAGTGTATTGTCAGCTGCTCTTGGTGGAAACTTGTTCTGAGCAGAAGCTGTTGAATGTGGGTAGTTTTAAAAGCTACACAGTGTGCCTGTGTGAGAAGTGAAGCATTTCTGGCAGTTACTGTGTTAATGTGGTGACACTGACTGTCATTTTTCTTTTTGCTATAGATTCCCAGGTAGATGGTCCCTGCCTGTGTTACCCCAGTTCAACCACACTGTCACTATTCCAGAGGGTGTCTTGGAACATTAATATGGATCTAATGCAAGGCAGTGGGTGCTTTTTGGATCAGTGGTCAGGCTGGAAAGATGATCTGGGAGAGGGAGTAAGAGGGTAGGACAGAGACGGTTGGCTAAGGCTGCAGTGGATAAGCAGATCTGGACTTAGTTACAGCCCAAAGTACATCTGTAGATCTTAGGAATGTTCACACAGTGCCCAGCAGAGAAACAAGCCACTGATGTTAATTTCTCATCTCTAAAAGAACAGGGGAAATGAAAACTCCACTTACTCAAAAGGAACACAGAAACTCAACAAAAGCTTAACCAAGTCAATATTTCATTACGTCTTAACACAGAGCCATTAGTATTCTTTCTGGACCACAGATTCTAGGCTTGAAGGCAGCTAGTTGATTTTTCATCCCTGTTGTCAACATTGAGAAGAAATTTTACCCTGGAGAGTGGAGATCACACAATGGATGATAAATTCATTAGAGGATGTTGGCCAGAAGCACAGATTATAGGAAACACCATAACTCTGCAAGCATTATCATGTCAGTGTCTCTTTTCTGTAAAAGAATTTACTCTCTGTGTAGGTGGAAAAAAACCAAACTTAAACTGGTCAAAAATACCCTGTAAAGAGAAGAATTATCATACGAATGTTATTGTTCATGATAGGGGTGAATTATTATCAAGAGTCTTGTTCTGACATCCTGAGAAAAAATCAGTGGTGATTCCAAATGTCAGCAGAATCTAATAGCAGAGCTTTGCTGTCTGTACAGCTCCAAGTCTTTGGCATGAGTTCAGAGTAAAAATTAATCTGAAAATTCCTGAAATCTGGGAAGCCCATATGTGAATCCTGTTATGTATCCTGGCATTTTGGCAGAAACAGTTTTCTATTGCAAGACTTTGAAGCCTACATAAAAATTAAACTGCCTTCATGCTCTGTAACTAAAGGCATATGAAATAGTGCAGCTTTGTTTAAGTGAAGCCAAAAGTTCAAACTTGCTTATTTCAGGTTTTTTCCCTCATTAAAATTATCAAAATCTGCTTTTATTGTCAAACACATGGCTTTTGATGAAATGCAGCTTTCAGTCACTTTTTAGGCTGGATTTTGCAATTAATCTCATTTGAATTTTAATTTTGGAACTGTATAAATATAGATGCTTTCGCAGTTTATTTGGTATGAAGTGAATTCAAATCTTGTTAGTTTACTTTTCTCAGTGATTCAAAGTTAACAATATACTACATGAACAAGCTGTCTTCCTTTATTATATTTTAAACTAAAATTAGTTTCTTCTTAATTCTCAAAAAACATGAGTTCTAACTAAAAATAATTCTTTCTTCAGATAAATAAAATTCTGGATCAATTTGAGAGTTAAATAGATGTGGTATCTGATGTATTCCTCTTGTAATTAAACAAAAGAAAAATCCTATGGAGGTTAGTGAGACTTTTGTATGACCTCAATGATGAAGTCCTAAATTTAATATCTGAATGCTCCTGTAACTATTATCTAATGAGCAGGAGATGCAACCATTGTAGTTTTGCTTCCATAATGGCTCTTTATCATTTATGTCATCCTTATAGGTTGTAGCATTTTTTCTCTATTGTTTGCAGAGATGTGCATGATAGAAGATGTAGGTGAAAAATCAGGCTGTAAGAATCCTTGGTTGCCAACAAAGTGCCCTTTTTTTATACAACACTTTTTGTACAAAATCTCACTAGAAGATGCCATCATCTGTTGGTGGAAGTGCTGTCCATTTAATAGAAGCCTCATGAAACGCCTCCTGCCATAATGAAATAGAAACCCATTATTTCTTGGTGCTCTGAGAACAAGCAGACCATGTCAATAGTCAGTGACTTCTCATATCATCTTCAGTGTATTTATTTTCTTGTCATGTAACAGGTTGAGAGAGGCTCTGTCACAGGCATTAAACAGCTTGCTTCATTTAACAATGCTCTTTCAACGAACTATAAAGAAACACAACAAAGAACAAAAAATAATAATAACCCAAGCTGATGTTTGGGGTTCAGGATTTTACACAACTGAGCAAAAAGCATTTGCATTCAGAGAACTGGGCAGACTGATTACAGCTCTACAAGATAATGGATAAGTGCTCTATCTCTGTGCAGAAGGATGTTTAATAGAGCTTTGAAATGGATTTTAGATAAGAACTTCCCCAATAAGAGGGATATATGGTCACAAAATGTGGTTGATATATAAGGAGAGTAACACATTTTTACTTTATCACAGAAACATCAAAATCTCTTCCTTCCATGGGCAAGACCCAGATGTTATATACACGAAACAATATGTCAAATCCAGTTATAACTAATTTCAGAAACTATTAATAAATCTCCTACTGTTACCATCCCCTAAGAAGGCATTCAGGAATATGCTGACTACTTGTCTACACTTGATTCTATTCCTTTTCTTGATACCTCTCCTATTTCCTGATAAAAAGACTTCCCACTGCCCAGGGGGAACTGTAGCTTATCTTTATTTCATGCAACACTGAGCCATTATTTTGCATTTATACATACCTGTACACTTTGCACCTGATGCTAAAATGCCATGTGAAATACCGATATTTGCACAGGGGAAAAACCCGTGCTGCACATGAGCTTTTGGCACGCCAAATTCCTCAGCTTGAGTACCATGGGCCCTTCACAGGAGTGGGCAGGTGGAAACCTGTGGACCTCTAAATGGTGCTTCCTACAACTATGAATCCGATGTTCACAAATCACAAGACTGTCTACGCTTTTCTTGTTATACCATTAGGATTTAAGGGTCTTTGAAAGTGAATAGGAACTCCTTAAAAGGAGTCAGTTTCCTCATTGCACCAAACCATCCACTAGCAGAACATGCTTCTATCCATGTGTATGGTTGTGCTCAGCGATAGTTTTAAAGCAATATATGAGAAATAAAACTTTAGATGCCAAAGATTATGTCCAGATTCTTTTCTCTTTGCCACCAGTCTGTACACCCTTGCGTGAAGCAGCAGTATGGGTGCAGCCCCATCCTGTTGGCTGGAGCCAGGCTCCACTGGCTGAGGATAGCGGGAGGAGAGGCTCGGAAGCCCCACACCCTCCCGGGCACCCAGGTTGTGACTGGGACCCTTGTCCCGCTGGTGAGGGGTCTGGAGGAGCAGCTGAGGGACAAGGGGAAGTTTAGCCCGGAGAAAAGGAGGCTCAGGGCGACCTTTCTCTACAATTCCCTGACCAGGGGTTGTTGCGAGCTGGGGGCTGGTCCCTCCTCCAGGTAACAAGATGAGAGGAGAACATAGTTTCAAGCTGCATCAGGAGAGGTTTAGGTTGGATATTAAGAAGAATTTCTTCACAAAAAGGGTGATTAGACACCGGAATAGATTGACCAGGGACATGGTGGAGTCACCATCCTTGGACTTAAGACTGGATGTGGCATTTAGTGACATGCTCTAGCTGACATGGGGGTGCTTAGGTTCGACTCAGTGATCTCACAGATCTTTTCTAACCTAACTGATTCTATTTGATTCGGTGAATGCCAGCAAGCCTGCAGCGAGGGCAGAGCTCGGAGAACTGGCTCCTCGTCTTGGCCAAACCAACACTGCTTCCATGTTTGACTTAAGGCTGAGTCAATTCATCTCCCTTCGCTGCATTCCGAGCAGTTTACACTGGAAATTGGAAGAGGCCAGCACGTCCTACAGGTGAAGCCCTTCAGCCAGCATGCCGGGAGCGGCGTTGCCTGGCGGGGTGTCCCGGCGCAGGCTGCGCGGAGCCCCGGTTCCCTCGGGTTCCCTCGGGCTCCCTCAGGCGCTGTCGGCCCCGAGCCCCGCAGCATCCTCCCGAGCCCCCCGCCAACATGGCGCCCCTGACCCCCGCGCTTCCTCTTCCGGCCGGGTTGCCATGGCGCTGCCCCCCGGCCCAGCCTCCCCCCGCCCGCCGGTGTGTGTTTACATCGGGCAGGAGGAGCCGGAGCCCCAGCGCCGGGGGAGACGGGCACGCAGCCGCCGGCCGCCCGCCCTCCCTCCATCCCCGCCGGGCGGTGCTCCGGGAGACGCGGCATGAAGGTGATGCTGGCGGCTGTCCCCGGGGCTCGGCTGGGCCGCGGCGGCTCCCGGCGGCCTCGGGGGGGGGGGCGAGGGGCGGGAGCCGGGCCCGGCGGTAACCGGGGGCGGGAGGTGGCGGTGGCCGTGCGCGCTCGTAACCAAGTACACAACTTCCAGAAGCTTCCAACTTCGCGGGGGCCGTGGTGTCGCTTCTTGGGTCCGTCTCCCTGGAAAGAATCCTCCCTTCCCTCCGTGCAAACCCGGCTCGTTTCCTGCGGCGCTGAGACGGGAAGGGAGTAGCGTGGGAGCCGGGGGAGGCTGCCTGCCCCTGCCCCCGCTGCCCTCTAGGCTGGTGTCTGCATGGAGAAATGTCCCTCCTTCCCCGGGCATCTTCCCTCATCCACAGCATCTCGTGGCGGTGTCGCTGCCGGCGGCCGCGGGGTTCGTGCCTTGGCGTGCGGCCGGGGCGGCTCCGGTGCTCACCTGTGCTGCTGCTCTCGCTGCCCCTTCCCTAAGCCTGGGGGGATCGCCGCCTTTCTCCGTAGTTTGCTGTGGAAAACTGTTAGAATAGAGAACGTCTAACCTCAGCCGGCTATTGGTGTGAGTGCTGAGGCTGGCTGGACTGTAGAAGTAGGAATATATAACACTCAGGTGTGAGGTTATTAGGAGTCGGCAGTGGTGTTGTATTGCTTTTCCTTCACTTTATGTTGTCATATTTCTTTAATTTTCAGGTGTATGACTTTTGAAGGGTTTTCTCGCATTAATCAGTCTGAAACTTGAGGCACACCAAACATTCCCTGTCTCCTGAATTTGTCTAGCAATAAAATAAAAAATGTATTAGCTAGGCTGTAAGCTTTTTGAGACGGAAACTCTATAGGTCTGTACCGATCCGGATGAAGAAATTTGGCTCAGGCCTTTCTCCAAGCCTCTGAGTCAAGTGTGTGTTAGAAGTTCAAAAGCTTGTGCAGGTGCTGGGTTCTGGGAAGTGTACGTGTGGCAGTCACTGGGCTTAACAATTGTTTCTGGGCACCAGGGGCTCTTAACCATAATATCTACACAGCTGGTGGGTGAAAGAAAAGGGGCAGCCTCTGCATACATGCAATAAATATATGTAAAAGAGCATGTCCTTCTATGCAGTCTTATGTTTTGTTGTGCATTTGTACAAAGCCTGATGTTAAAATGTGTATTTTTTCTTTCTCTCTGAGTATTTGTTAGTTCCAATAGTGTAGGATAATAAAAGGTATGTAGTGAGAACATTATTGTTAAACAGGACTATGGCTTTGAGTGTTTTGTTGACTTACACTGTAAAACAAAAACCTTAGAGTGCTGTCTGAACAATACATCCAGTTTGAGGTACAAAACTGAAAAGATTTTCTTCAGCTTCTGTTTTATTGCATGCAGAGTAAACAGCTGCTTATTCTTGCGAAGGCTATTACTTTTGCTGAATTCCTTTTTTGCCCCACTAGAGTGGGGAAACCTTATGGCTATTTAAGATGAGCTTATTCAAAATACAACAAGATGGGAGTGGAATCATGTTCTGACTGCAAGAAAAAATGAGTGTGTTTGGGGGAAAAGTTGTTTGTTTTTAACCAATCATTTTTCAGGTATAAGCACTGTGTAGAGCTTTTCAGTATAAAAGGGTTCACATTTTTTTATCAAAATGGGTAATTTCTTTCAGTGCACGTTTCTTTCCATGTGTGCCACCTCTTGCTGTAGGAGTTGCTTCAAGTGTCTTCTAGGTAAGATCGTTGTCAATGCAGGATTTAAATTCTTAAGCTGGGGGTGGGGATAATTACCTTTTTATTTAAGAAGTGGAATGCATTGAAATATGCAGTGTTTTCACCCCTTTAAAAGGGTGAGGAAAGGAGAAGGGAAGGGAAGAAAGAGGTGTCTGTTTGGCGCAAGTTGGATCTGAATCCCTTTTATGGGCCTGCTCGTGAGTGTTCAGTGTGACTTCAAAACAAGTAAGTTTAAGTTTTTGATCATTGCAGGGATGACATCAAAACTAAGCTTTTCAAAATAATTGCATCATTTCTCCCCTAATTGTTGTTGTATCTTGGGAAATACATTTGAGTTTGTTTGTTTCTGTCAGCATTGGTTTTGATGCCGAGCTCATTGATGCTAGTTAGCATGTTGCTGAGAAGGCAGAGCAGTCAAAAGAAAACAGGTTAATGCTAGTGTGCATCAAAATGGTCTGCCTATTTAGGGAAGAAGCAGGAAAAGGGAAGTAAATGGTAACATCAGGGGATGTTCTTCTGCTATAGAACCAATCCTGTCAGGATCCGTTACTAATGCTGATCATTGCTGAAGAAACTGAAGCCTGATGTGGTTTATTTTTAACATAATTACTTAATAAGTTTCCTGTTGAAAAGGCAGAATGAAGTAAAGTAGTATGGCAAAGCAATGCTTTGAAACTTGGTGTTGAACCTGGAGTGGATTCAAGATGGTCTTTATGTCTACTTTTTTTCTGTTCCCATGTCTTTTGAGCTGTGTCCATGCTGAAGGATGGTATCTCTGGGCCCTTCCAGGCTATGCAAAGTACAAAACTGGCTAATGTCCCTTTTCCTTCTTTGTAGGAAGGAGTGAGAGGCAAGCAGCACAGATTGTGTCAGGAAGTGGACCTTTTCTGTATATAGTGATAAGTGATACCTTTTGAATATGTCAATAAAGTTTGCTTTCTTTCAAGGGCAGATGATTCTGATGGTAAGGAAATACACCTTTTCAGGCTGCATTAGGAGCTTGGGTAATATGTCTGTCCTGTGGGGAGGGCAGTTCTATTTATTAGGGCAGTAGGGAGATAACCAAATCCCTGCCTGTCTATCACAGTCAGCTGCTAATCACTGTTCCACAACATAGTATCTTTCCAGTATTAATCTCTTGTGGCTAAATGCTTGATTTCTCAAGTCTTAGGCAGCACTGGAGAAGGTTCTTGTGCCCTTGCTAACAGAACCTCTTCATGCTGTATCTTCAATCTGTGAATAGTTGAGGCATTAGGATAGTTCCTGGTATGGTTCTGCTGTGCTGCTTCTAACACTGCTGCTGTCACTGGGCTAACCTAAATCCAAAATCAGAGAAATTAAAGGCATTGAGAGTGGCAGGTCATATTGAAGTTTTTGTTCGTGAAAGCAAGCTCAAGATGTGATTTCAGTTAAGTAGCTGTTCCCCTTGTTATTGAAAGGATTCTTCAAAGTAGAATGAAAGCTTGTGGTGCTTTGGCATGTACTCACAGTTAAGTTATATAGTTTGAGTATGACAAGTGTCATAAATGTGACATTCTACTTTGAGAAACTTAAAGCTATATTTAAGAGAAAGAATGTGAACTTACTGCCTATAGTTCTCTTTTTCTGACTGCCTGTGATAGTAAGTGTTGACAGATAAATTTTAGAGATCAGAATAAGGCAAGATATTTTGAAGATGCAGTATCAAATTTATGAAAAGCTCAAGTAAATATTTTTCTTGCTTGTGTTTACAGACAGCTCTGCTCCTTAAGGATGTTGTGGGTTGTCCTGTCAAAATGATGTGTATGTAATCTTTTTTTTTACATGTGTCCAATCCTGTTTAGCAAGCCTCTTTATAGTTGAAATGAAAAGTACTTGGAAAAGGAAATATAAAAATAAGAGACAAGAGTTATTGCTTTCTATGGAGTATATAGTAATATTTCGTTTTCCTAGCATGTAGTCCTAAATGTGGAGTCAGGAATCGGGAGGAGTGTGAATGTAAGTGATAGAGTAAAAGAAAACATTGAGTACATATTCTGTAGATAATTTTGATTTAAATGTTTGCCTGTGATTGGTCACATCTGTTTTTCTTTATTGCTGAGCTGCCCTACAAACATTGTAGTGGTTTTCTTTTCCAATATTTCAGCTGAATTTCAGAGATATAGGAAAGGGATACATACCTTCAAAGTTCTGGGCAAAGGTATATTCTTACATAGATGGGACAAATAGTAGAGCTCTTAAGTTTCTTCAAAAGAATGTTCTGATTGAACTTAGTGGGCATCACAGAAGTGGCTTGTGGTGGTAAGTCTTAGTCTTAATATGTCTGCAGAGATGCTCAAGGTCTACTGCAATTCTTGGGCTTTGATTCATTCTAAAGACATTTTGGAGAGAGAACTTTTGCCCCTCACAGATCTTTAAAGTAGAAGGCAGCATTTACCAAAAGCTATTGCTTCCTGAATGAATTCTTGCTAGTGTGTTGCTTGTATTCATAGTGATCAAGTGCTTTTTCTGTCTCATGGCTGTTTAGTTGCCGAGTGTAGTAACTGGTTGGAATCTTGTATACAGCAAGTTGTGACCTTTCTTACTATTTCTTGGAGTGAGTTTGGGAGAAAAAGAGCTCTCAATGGAGCCTGAAATAAAAGGCGTGTTACTGCTGGCAGTGCTTCTGGCAGCCAAGTTTTGACTGTGCAGGTTAGGTGTGAAATTGCAGGGCTTAACAGTACCAGAAGATGTAGCTTTTGTTCTCTAGAGTTAGTAAATATTTTATCTGAAATGTTTCTTCTTTAAAGCACTACAATAAGTGCATAGCATACAAACAATACTGATCTTGAAAAGCTCTGATGTGAGTTCAAAACTCATTTGTAAGGAAAGAAATATTTAACTACCTAGCCATCCACAAAATAAATTTAAAAGTTACTCTTGCAGTAATGTCTCTTGTGACTCTTTTGGGGGAGAATGCTTATATTTTTCAAGCTGTATATACACTAATGTACATTGAATTTAAGTCTTATACTAAAAGTTCTGGCGTTCAGCTGTAAAAACCCTTGAAAATTACTTAAATTTCAGCTCATTAAAGCTAAAACAGTAGTAGTGCA